GTACCCTCCCCTCCTGACAGCCGCTACCTCCATCACCCTCCACACCCTCCCCACTACCAGTACCAGCATCAGTACCAGCATCACACTCCCAATCCCAAACATGAATCCCTCCGCCCCGATCGCAGTTGCCGTCCCTGAACGCAGACCCCCCGCCCCCATCACCGAGAAGCCGGTACACGGATCGCTTGACCCCGTCCTCTAGAGTGGTATTGCTATCGCTACTGCGTGATGGCCCTGTGGTTTCTGGTTGGTGCGGTGGACTCGGGGGCTGACCCTGAGGCTTGGGGTTTGTTTCAGTTTCTGTTTCGATCTCAGTGTAAAGATACTCGCGCTCGTAGCCTGGCAGGGTGGTGTAGCGTGGTTTGAAGAGAGCGGAGCCGGTGGTTGGTGATTCTGTTTTGGTATCTAATGGTTCCGGTTCTGATAGCGAAGCAGAGGGTTCGTTCTTGTGGGGTCTTGTTGTGGTTGTCGTTGTTGTTCGGGAGAAGTGCCATGCGCCGTGTAGGGCGCGGAAGATGGCTGTTGCTGTTGGCGCTTCGCCAGTGGAGACTGTGCTAGGGGTTGGGGAGAGGGTGGTGGCTAGGGAACTTAGGGTCTTTGTGGGGTTATCGGGTCCTGCCGATGAAGCTGAAGCGGAGAGGTAGGGATATCTAGCCGGTATGACGGGGTCAAGGAGCGGGCGCTGCTGGTCTGAAGCCGAGTCTGAGTCTGAGTCTGGGTTTGGGTTTGGGGTTGGGTCTGGAATAGGCAGGCGAGGAATCCCCAGCTCCCTGGCGAAGGACTCCATGAGGCCGACGTAGTCGCCCATGGGGAACTGGCTCCTGTGTTTGGTCTGGTGGCGGAGGCGGCGCAGTTTCTCCCTGTCGGTTTCGGGTCCGGTTTCCTTTGCGAGGGTAGGGGAGCGGTCTTGTCTCGATTGCTCAGCCGGAGATCTACTCCAGCGCGCGGCCAGACTCCGCGCTTGCATCTCCATGACACCCCAGTAGGGACCGCGGTAGAAGCCCACAAACCCCAGATCCGGGATCTCGGAGTGTGAGGTGCCCTTATTGTCAAGGATGAGGGGGATGAATGCGTCGTCTGGGGCGTATTCGAGAGTCGAGAGGATGGAGGGCGGGAGGAAGGCGAGCGAGTCGCGGGGCGTGAAGCCCGTGGCTAGGATGATGGCAGCGACGTTGTCCAGGATGCTGGATTCTCCGGTTGGGAGGCTGATTCCCACACGTGCGCGTGCGCGATCGTTCGACGAGCTCAGATGGGCGACGCGGCCGATGGTGACCTTGACGGCCCCGGCGCGCACGTATTCCGCGTAGTCGTTGCCGATGGCCACCCAGGAGGGTTGCAGCTCCGAATCCTCCGGACAGACGCCAAAGCTCCCGATCCGTGCGTACTCGCTGCCCAGCAGCTGGCGGAACCAGGCATTCGATCTGGAGATCTGGTCCGGCGCGAGCGGGCCGACAGCGTACTCGATCTGGCCGGGGGGACGACGGGCACGATCGTAGAAGACGAGGTCGAGGGGGAGGAAATTCACCGCCGTCCCGGGGGCTTCTTGGTCGGGAGATGTGTGGGGTAAGTAGGTCGGCACCATCCAGAACGGACGTGAGCAGATGTGATGGACTTCGAGCGGCGCATGGCCAGGAGTCGAAGAAGAAGAAGAAGAAGAAGAAAGATGCAAGGCCACCGCCGACGCAGCCTCGACGCCCGACATACTGCCCCCCACGACCACTAATTTCCCTCCAGCATCAACATCAGCATCAGCATCACCAGATCCCCCAACCCGAACCCGGTCCAACAACCCCTGCACATCCTCCATCTCCTGCACCGCAGAACTATGCACCATCTCCCCCTCGAACCCAGAGATAGGGATATCCAGCCCCACCGGCCGAGCAAAGTACCCCGACGCGACAACGAGGTAATCAAACCGCTCCGTCCGCGTACCGGTATCATCCCTACAACAACCACAACAACAACAAGTCAGCAATCCCCCAACCCCTCGAATTCGCGAAAAGAACAGCATACTAACCCTCCCTGCACCCACTCCACCACCCACCCTACCCCAAAATCCCCCCGCTCAACCCGTACAACCTCACACCCCAACCTCACCACCCCCGCCCCCTCCCGCAAAAGAAACCGCTCCGCATACGTGTCCAAGTACCTGCGCACCTGCCTCGCCTCCGGAAACATCGGCACCTCATCACCCTCCCCGAGGACGCTCTCCCACCCCAGATCCGAGAACGCGACCGTGTACCGACTGAGATTCGTGCGCATGGCGGGGTTCACGAAGCCTCTGGTTTTTCGGCGAGTCTGGGTCTGGGTCTGAGTCTGGGTCTGAGCCTGATGCAGAGCGGTGTCTGCTCCGTCTGTCGCAGGGCAAGCCCACAGCCCGCCGATGCGGGTGGTTTTCTCGAAGATTGTGGGGAGGAAGAAGCCCCCGGGGGCATTGTGGAGGAGGGTTTTGGCGGTGACGAGGCCGGAGGGGCCGGCTCCTGGGTTTATTGTGTTAGTATAGTATAGTATTTGGGGGGAGGGTGAGGGGAGGGGGGAGTTGAGGTTGACGGGGGAAGGGTGTGTACCGATGATGGCTACTTTCTTCGGAGCGTGGGAGTGGGGCATGATTGTACAGTAGCAGCGGAGGAGGAGGAGGAAGTGGTGGTGTTGAGGCGAGGGGAGGAGGTGATTGATGATAACTTAGTAGATAGTAGATAGTCTTGTCCTGGAGATAAGAAGTCGGCGAGGGGAGGAGGGATTGACCTTCACTTAGGTTACCCCGCACTATACTCACGGCACTAACTATCCATCCCCGCTTGGGGGAAAAATTATGCAGGTTGCGGTGCTGACGGCACGGAGGGCACCACAGATATTAAGTCTCGTTTGTGGTAAGAGGCAAGTTTATTTTGTTCATTTATTCTCTATCAGTATTGGTGTAGATAGTATCTAGATTGCCACAAAATAAACACCAAAAAAAACAGGAACCAAGTGTGTCGTTACATTCATTCCAAGTACAAGTCCCATGCTAATGTGGAAGCAAAGCGATGATATGTGCATAATGTACAGCCGTATCTCAGGGCTGAAGCAGGAGGTTGATAATGATGATGGTAGGAGGTGTATGTGGGAGTGAGAAGCATTCACTCCGGAACAGGGTATATCGTTCATCATTCCTTTGTCACAGGACATGATTGGGGGGGGGGTTTGAAGTTGAAGACGAGATGTCGGTTCGTGATGGACCTGACCCAAGGAGCTCCATCACGGATGATACCTCAATTCGTCGGGGAAAGGCACCGTGCAAGCACCGTGACGCTCACAGACGGTGCTGCAGCGGCGAAGCAGGAGCCGGAGTCTCCACGGCCGGGGAGGCCAGGGGCGTGTACGAAGCGGACGGCGAGACGTCCGTCAAATTCAACCGAGTGACGAGCTTCTTCCACGACTCGAGACCGCGCAGCGCGTGCTGCTTGGGGGTATCAGGGTGGGGGTCGGCGAGGGTGCGGGAGAAGAGCTCCAAGGAAACCCAGCCCTCGAAGCCGGTATCGAAGAAGGCCTGGGCGACCTCCTGGACGGGCAGATAGCCGCCGCGGTCCTCCTCGAAGGCGAACAGGCGGGCGTTGCGCGACCAGTTCATGCGGGTGGGCTGGCCGGGGACGTGGAAGGGGTGGGACTCGTCGAGGGGGGCGGTCAGGCGCTCGCCGTCGACGATCTGGATGTAGAAGACCTTTTTGACGTCGACGCAGGCGCGCAGCTTGGCCAGCGAGGCGGCCAGGTCGGCCTCGGCGTTGGGCGTCTTGCCGCTGGGGTGCGCCGGGTCCGCGTACACACGCCCGGCCAGGTTGAAGGTGTCCAGACACAGCCCGAAATTGGGCCGGTCCACCTGCTGCACCACCTCCCACGAGGCGTCCCACGTGTCGACGTGGTTGCCCCAGCACAGGGCTTCGTAGACGAAGCGGAAGGGCGGCGACTGCTGCAAGCCCAGATCGGCGACCCGCTGCAGGTCGGCCACGATCACGCTGCGGTCGCCCGTCGTGCGCAGCTTGCCCGTCGCCGGGTCCGCCAGGAGGAAGTTGGACGGGATCTGGATCAGGTCCGTGTCGAGGATGCGCGCCAGCTCGAACCACCGCGGTAGCTTCTCGGTCACCATGCGCTCCGACTCCTCGCGGTCCAGCAGCCCCTCGTAGAAGGAGAAGGGCTGCAGGCAGATGATGGTCAGCCCCAGCGAGTCGCACAGCCGGCGCACCTGCTTGGCGGCCGCCGTGTGGTCGCCCTGGAACAGCGTTTTGGCAAAGTGGTCGAGATCGTCGAAGAACAGCTCAATGCCCTCGTAGCCGTGCAGAGCAGCCTGGTGCAGCTTGCCGGAAAGACTGTGAATGCCCGGTCGACCCAGCGACATCGAGGCAATTCCCAAACGGTTCGGCATGTTGTGCGATGTAAATGAGATGTGTTGGATGGGGGGGAGTGAGGGAAAGAACGGAAAGGGCAGCAGAGAACTTGGGAAGAGGAAACAGATGAGAGCAGCAGCAGGATGGATCTATATTATGACCTGTCGAGAAGATATGATGTGATAGATACGAATCCGTAAGATGTTATCGTGACGGAATGGACGAATGAACGGGCCGCGTCACCTATTTCTAAGCGTTTCGATTCAGGGGGGGGGGAAATAGCGAAAGAGAAAGTGCTAAAAAAGCAATTTGTTGATAAAGCGCAAATAATGGCCGAGGGAAGGTTCATGTATTGGGGCAGATGCCTTATACTCTTTCCCACAATAATGGAGACCATCCAGGAGGGCGAGATCCATTCTTGCAGGGCCTGGGGAAGAATGATTGTCAGCAGAATCAGTTAGGGCTGTTTGTTCTCTCTGCCTGGAGGGAAGAATAGAAAGGGTCAGTGGTCAGTGACGGGCGGGCGGGCGGGAAAGCGCTTTGCCCAGCCACTTCCTCACCTGCATTTATCCGTCCGTCACACAATAGTGCGGCAGTGGCTTCGGGAGACTGCGGGATGACGGCCTCCTTCCTCATTCCCTTTTCAACCCTTTATCCCCCGTCCATCTGTGGTACTCTCTCACGTTTTTGTCTTCCGGATTGTGGGAGACCAGGCACCTAAATGTTCTTACTGTTTCTTGGTTTCACGGTCAGTCTAACCTGGCTCTTTCGCTCGTTATCGCCCCTGAAACCGCCACCGCCATCGTGTCTAAACCTTGACGTTACACACTCTCGGGTCGCTTGCCTTGGCCATGGCACTGCCAAGGTCATACCAAGCGATGCTTCACCGCTCCCAACCAATAGAGTTTTCATGGCCCAAGATCTGATACGACGGGCAATCAAAAGGAATCGAACCAGGTATGTCATAAACAATAGGTATGTTGACTATCTAAACAATCGTGATATCCAAGACAATACAAAGAAATACATTAACAATCATTCGCAGGTCATTGTAGCCCGCCAGGCTGAAATGATAAGGAGCAAAATCGAAATCCAAAAGTAAGGCTTTAGACCTTGGTCGCCGTGTCTTCCACCTGGTGCACCTCGGACTTGGTGAAGCCGGACTCCTCCAGGTCGCGGCGGAACCGCTCTTCGTCCTCGCGCATCTGCTCCAGAACGACGCCGTGCGCCTTCCACACAGGCTGGATCTCGAACAGGGGATCCATGTTCTCTAACGGAACACCCTTTGTCTCGGGTATCAGGAAGAACACAAAGATGAACGAAAGAATCATCAAGGACGCGAAGAAGAAGTACACGCCATACTCCATCTTCTCAAACATCTGCGGGGTGAACCGCGAGATGAGGAAGTTCCAGAGCCAGTTGGATCCGGCGGCACAGGCTTGAGCCAGCGACCGCACATTGGGGTCAAACATTTCCTTCATTGGCCGGTTAGCGTTGTTCAGTCGGCAGTGGAGCAGCAGGGGGAGCTTACCGAGTTGATCACCCAGGGAGTACCGTTCCAGGTGGGGGTGTAGAACGCCGTCCACAGGTAGAAGAAGAAGATGGCAGCGATGCCGCCGCCGTTCAGCGACTGGGTGTTGTTGTTCACAGGATCCGCGATCTTGATGTACGCGCCAATGATCCACATACACACGGAACCGCCAATGGCACCGATCAGCAGGAGGTTGCGTCTTCCCACACGGTCGATCAGCCAGAGGAGCCAGACGAAAGTCACTACGGTCTTGACCACCCCGAAAATGCCCGTGGTCAGCAGACTCGAGTTGGTGCCCTTCAGGCCGATCGATTTGAACACGGTAGGGGAGTAGTAGTTGATGGCGTTGATGCCCGAGCCGTTCTGCCAGAAGAAGAGCATGCTGCCGAGGAACAGCCGGTACAGGATCTTCTTGTTGGTCCAGACGGCCTTGAAGGGCTTCCAGAAGCCCAGTCCGATCGTGTTCCGCTGGGCTTCAATGGACTGGTCGATGGCACCAATCTCTTCCATCATGTAGATGTGGTCCTCGGGGATCTGGCGGATCCAGCAGAGGTTCTTGATGGCCTCCTCGCGCCTCCCGCGGAGGAACAGCCAGCGCGGAGACTCCCGAACAAAGACGATACCGATGAGGAGCAGACCCGCAGGAATCAGCTGCACGGCAAAGGGGATGATCCATTGCTTGTGGCTGGGAGCCAGCGTCTCACTGACACCATACTGTTTCCGCATGATTAGCCCGAGTCCAGTAAAAATAGACGTAGATAAGACTCACGTTGATCCAGAAGCCAACCAGGCCACCGATTTGCCACCCCAGCTCATAGACACCAACCAACCGACCGCGGATGGCAGGCGGGGCCAGTTCGGAGATGTAGATGGGCGTGATGTTAGACCCCGCGCCTACGCCAATTCCAGCCAGGACACGGCCAGCGTAGAGAAGGCCCAGACCCCGGTCGCCGTTGACACCCAGCATCAAGCCCGCCCCCAGAATGAAGACCAGCGCAGAAGCGAGCAGGCCCCACTTCCTACCCCAGAAATGCCCGATCGGGTACGCAAAAAATGCTCCGAAGAAGGCCCCGGCTTGGTAGCAGGAGACGATGTTGGCACTGACCAGATTCTGGGTGGCTGTGGACATAGAAGCCCAGTCGAACTCGTCCTTGAAGGACTGCAGCGACAGCGTTGTCCCAATGAAGGCACTGTCGTATCCGATCATGCATGATGTGAACGAGGCGACCGCCGCCAGGAGATAGATTCTCCAGTTGTAGACCTCCTTAGGCGTCGGCCTGTCCTCGACCATTGAAAGAATTCCCATGATGGATGATGATCACCCCTGGGGCTAGACACTTGTTTATACCTGTGCCTTGTTGAGGGAGGAGTAAAGACGAAGAAGGCTAGGGGGAGGAGGAAACAGAGACTGTGAGCGAGAAGAAGGGATAGAAGGTAACGAGCTAGGCGAGAAGTGTTTGAGGGTCTTGGTGATCGGAGAGAGATGTTGGTGATGGTGAGAAGGAAACAGATCCTGCTCCTCGAGGAAGTGGGCTTATATAGCTCAGACTACCTTCCCCAGTCTAAGCAAAATCCGGGGTGCGGAGGGAGGCAAAACTCAGGCAAATCAAAACCCCAGATATCCAAGGACTACACCAGAGAAAGTATCGTGGGAAAACGATGGAGCGGGAAAACGATCCACGCGCAGAGTAAACACGCCCAGCGAATTTGCAGCCAGCAGCCAGCAGCCAGCAGAGAGCAACCAAAGGCAAGCCAAGGGAATGGGAAGGAGAAGCGCAAAGTCTGTCACCACGTGTGCCGGCGCAACGATTGGACCTAGACCAGCTTGGCCCTCGAGAGACCGTAGACCGTGACTAACTCGCACCACGGGCAGGAAAAAGCATGTCATGTGCGGCCGGACTGCGCCTATTGGGGCCAGAGGGTGCGCTTCCCCATGGGATCTGAGGCCGATGTTCGGCCTGGCGTCTCCACTCGGGAGGAACAGAAAACTTAAGAAAGCAGATTAGGCGAGGGCGAGTGTGTCAGTTTGTGGGGAGGGGTGTGGAAGGGAATGTTGCCCGTCGCCCGTCGCCCACAGAAACCGACGGGCTCAACCCGTGGGAAACTGAGATGCAAGCCCCAAGGCTTCGCATTCAGCGGACTCTGGGCCAAACCCTAAGCAGGAGGTGATACGAAGATCGCACATTAAGCGGGCCAATGAAGAGAGGACGATAGCGACAGTGGCTGGGGAAAGTGCTTCGCCGGAGAAGGTCTCCCCGTGGGGAAGAAGGAAGAAGAATAGAGACTAAGCCAGAGACTAAAGCCGCGCCGTCGGAGTCTCGGGGATTTCGCGAGTGGCGGGAAAAGGGTTCTGCCCGTTGGCGGCGTGAGTTCATGCCGCTGCAGCAGTCGGCTTTTGTCGCCCAGTATGTCAGTGGATCCATGCCACCCAGCATGATCCACTCACCATCAACCTATTTTCCATGTTCCAGGAACCGAGTGAGGGGCAACGGAAGAGAGATTGGGAGCACAGGCTAGTTGCAGCACTTGGTCGTAGACTGGAGGTGGAGGAGGAGGAGGAGGAGCAGGCAGAGAAAGAATGGAGAAAAAGGAAGAGCCGGGAGAGTGGAGGTAAAAGTCAAAGCCGAAAGATCTCTCCCGCAACAAGAAAAAAAGTCTCATGGCAGCCTTGACACCTGAGGGCCCCCCCCCCCTCCCTCGTCATTGGCCTTAAATCTTTCCCCTTCTCTCCTTCTCTACTCTTCCAATCCTCTCCCTTTTCCTCTTCTTTCTCGATACAAGAAACGCAATTGCAGGCAATTCACTTCTTTTTTGTCCTCTCTCCCCACCCCCAAAGACACGCACCACCATGACCTCCACGAACCCCCAACCCGAAGAACCCATCACCATCCCCGCGGACCGGGATGGAGTCGCCTACCTGTACGGCCACCCGCTGCTGAACTCGCTGTCGCCTCCCCTGCACAAGACCGTTTACGAGAAGCTGGGGCTGAACTGGATTCAGATCCCGCTGTCGAGCGTGACGGGGAGCTCGGAGACGTACCCGCCGCCGTACACGCGGTCGCCGCCGATCGACAAGTTCCTGGCGTCGATCCGGGCGAACCCCAAGTTCGTGGGGTCGTCGGTGACGATGCCGTGGAAGGTGGGGATCATGCCGCACCTGGACGAGCTGACGGAGGACGCGCGGCAAGCCGGGGCGTGTAACACGATCTTTGTGCAGACCGACGAGACGACCGGGGAGCGGCGGTACGTGGGCACCAACACCGACTGCAACGGGATCCGGGAGGCGCTGGTGCAGAACTCGCCGGACCCGGCGCGCTTCCGCGGCAAGCCCGCGCTGGTCGTCGGCGGCGGCGGCACCGCCCGCACGGCCGTCTACGTCTTCCGCAAGTGGCTCGGCGCCAGCCAGATCTACATCGTCAACCGCGACGCCGCCGAGGTCGCCGCCATCCTGGAGGAGGACCGCCAGCGCAATGCAGGCCTCTCCGGTCTCGCCCCGATCATCCCCGTCACCGACCCCGCCGCCGCCGCCGCCCTCGAGACCCCCGCCGCCATCGTCTCCGGCATCCCCAACTACCCGCCCAAGAGCCCCGAGGAGGTCAACGCCCGCCAGGTGCTGCAGGCCCTGCTCGGCCGCAAGGACGACGCCAAGCCCAAGGGCGTCATCCTGGAGATGTGCTACCACCCCGTCCCCTGGACCGAGATCGCCGAGCTCGCCGACGCCGCCGGCTGGAAGGTCATCCAGGGCTCCGAGGCCCTGATCTGGCAGGGGCTGGAGCAGGCGCGTCTCTGGACCGGGCGCGATATCATCGGCACCCCTGGGGTGGTCGATGCGGTCAAGGAAATGGTCGCCAAGACGATCGCCGAGCGGACGCAGCCCAAGTCTGCTTAATTTTTGCGGTAAATTTGGATGACACCACCTTCATGGTTTTATGATTTCTTGTACAGAATTCTAGCATACCCGGAGCATTTGCTTGTTGTTTGAAAGAATATACAAAAAAGGAATAGATGAATTGTATATATTTGCCTCTTGACATGATTCATGCCCCAGCTTATAAGCCTAGTAGACGACGGTATATTCGCCGTATGTTTGCACTGTATGTTTCTGGAAGGTATCTATCTATCTGTATTGCGGAATGACTTAGGCCCCCGGGCGGGAGAAGTTCAACTGCCGCACGCGCTTCCATACTTCGCGCACCGTGCGCTCTTGCGATTGACGTCCAGTCTCGGTCTCGGACGGACCCGCGGGTCTGTACGGGTTAGTCACCGGCATTGCACTGGGAGGCTCCAACAACCACATACCTAATACCAAGATACAATCGACTTCCCAACTTGTACTCCTCAATCGGATCTGTCTCCGGATTCTCAGGGGGGTTGGCCGTCGTGACCAACCCACCGGCCTCCAGCAGAATGGCAATGCCCGCAGCGACATCCCTAGTGTTACTTGGTCAGTGCCCGTCACGAGGAATATCGGTGATCGACGCGAATTAGCAAAGCACCCAACTCACCACTCCCAGCAACCCCCCTCCCACCAGATATCAAACGAGCCCATGGCCGTGTAGGCGAGATCCAGGGTGGCGCTGCCCAGACTGCGCACGCCGTGCACCATGCCGCCCTTGCCGCCGCGGCTGCCCGTCTCGGCGGCCAGGTTCAGGAAGCTCTCGATCTTGCGGTACATGTTGCCGTCGGGGATGTCGCGGCGGTCCTTGCCCCACTCGCAGGAGAGGATGCACTTGCCCGGGGCGTTGGCGGGCATCGGCGGGATGGACGGCTTGTGGATGAGCGGGAGGCGGCGCTTCTCGTTCAGCCAGGCGCCGCGGTTGACGCACGAGGAGAACAGCTGGTCCTGGAAGGGGGCGTAGATGACGCCGATGACCGGGCGGTGGTTGACGATGAAGCCGATCGAGACGCAGAACATGGGGAAGATGTGCGTGAAGTTGACGGTTCCTGCGACGGTTAGTCTTCTAGAATTGACAGGTAGAGATGGGGCGCATACCGTCAAGCGGGTCGATACACCATGTCGGCTGCTCATCGATCAGATACTCGCGGGATTGGCCCTTGGCGTATGATTCTTCGCCGAGGAATCTGCAATTCGTCGGTCAGTCGTTGGGTCCCGGCAGGACTGCATGGGAGATGAGAACGCACTTGTGTGAGGGGTATCGGTCTTGGATCGAGCTCTTGATGAATGCTTCGACATCTGGAATGCAGTGAGCTTGATGCGCGGCGCTTTGTTTGGGAAGCTGAAAAGAAAGGGGGGTCTGGGGGTTCCCCCCCAGAACGCCCATCCCGCCCAAGTCTCCCAGAATAACAGCATCCTGGGGGAGAACCCCCAGACCCCCCTTTTCTTTCAGCTTCCTGGAGACGGCGTGTTCCGGTGCGTGTTGTATAGGTAGAGAGGGGTCCCGTACCTTCGTCCGTCTGAGTCACAATGTCCACCGCGCTGTCTTTCTCCTCGATCGCCTGGCTCCCCCCATCGAGTCGCTTCTCGACGCTCTCGAGCAGCAGCTGGCCGGCCTTGCGCCCGAGATCCACCGCGAATGCGTAGATTCCGTCCAGCTGCTCCTGGCTGAACTCGGGGGCGGCCATTATCACTTGGTGTTGTGCGGGGTAGGTTGAGGTCCGTCACTGGTGGGTCGTGTCTGTGATGTGCACAGTTCGGTGCACAATTCGACAGAAATAGTGTCTAGTCTATTATCTCAGGAGTATATGCAGGGTATGAGACAGAACAAGACAAGAGGATAGAGGCGAGCACGGGGTTGCGATGAAGAGTGAGCAAGCTCGGAGCGGCGATAGTGAGGAGGTTTCCCGCTTCTTTCACCGCTGATAACCGACTTATCAGTGGGTCCTGCTCCCTCACGTGGGTCATCCGACTGTTGATGCAACTATCGATGCATTGCCACTGGTCGAGTAGTCAGTTGAGAGGTAGTTGCAATTGATCTTTATTGGGTTTGTCCTCATAGATCTAACAGCTCCTGTTGCACTGCCCAGCAAAACTCAACAATCTTGTGTAATTCCCTACTCATTGTCCATCATGCTATCGAACGCCAAGCGAGTTTATTTCCCCTGCTGCTATTCTTGGGTCGCACCGCTGACACAGATGAGTGATCTCGAGGAATCGCATTCCCGGTTCACCATGAGCTTTGAATTTGCACTTGTGTAGCAAAGCTGGTGTTGCTCTATGATATTAGAGAATCTCTTCTTCCACGCTGTTTGTCTCATTCTCACCAACCCTGCAGAGCAATGACAGCGATTGACAGCTGTGCAATGGAACCCTGGTAAATCCAGGATCATCCTACAAACGCCATTCAGTCTATCTTCCTGACCCTTGAGGCATACAACAGCGTGGACAATTAAAGCACGTGCAAGTGCTCCAGCTCCAGCTCCTGCCCATCGCCCTGCCCCAATCCTCGCCACTGGAGCTCAATTGCTCAAATCAAGGCAAACGAATATGGGGAAGGGGACCGATCGTCCCATGACTCGATTCCACCCTTCCCAAGCTCTGTCCGAGAGGAGATTAATAATGCGACAATTTATAACTAAGTGACTCAACTCGCCAGTCAAAAGTGGAGCCGGCAATTTCACAAGATCTGGTCTAGCGATAGTAGGTAGGGCCAGGGCCCCCAGTCCAGCCCCGTCCCAGTCCCTAAACTCCAACACAGCATGTACGCATGCAAGCACCTTGCGAACGTGTCTGGCAGGAGCTACTTCCAGAAAGCAGAGCATGATATCGAACCGTGGAGCCAAGATTACATAGACCACTCCAATTCCTTTGAAGGGGAAGAGCGTCCAACAGAACCACAGATGGCCGAACCTCGTAGCGAACACGCGAACACTCAGCCCAACACCCCCCTTCCCCCCACAAACCAACCACTGACAGATTCAGTGGACTTCAGCCAGCAAAGTCACCTGCTCCTGCTCCTGCTCCATCCACCGTCCGTAACTCAGCTCAAGTCCAGCGGTATCGTTTGCAAGGAAGTGTAAGTGTAAGCGTAGCGTAAGTGTAAGGTGAGGGCCGGCTCGGCAGGCTCGGCACCCCCCGCACATTCTTACAAACAATACCTAAGTTACCCGGCAAAGCGCTTTCCCTCCCGAGTCCCGCTCGGGGAAGCCTTTTACCTCCCAGCCTCGGCTCGTGGCGCACCTACTTGTGCTGTACATACTGTCCGCTTGCATTCCTGGCACTGCTGTGCATATCCCAGACAGACGAAATCACAATTCCAAACAGCTCATCCGACCGAACCCCAGGAGCTGAATAATGCATGCATCCTGGCGTGCGTTGCACCCAGGGATGCTGTAGCACATACATAACTTCCGGAGGGAGCCGAGGGACCAACACTTCTCCGCAGCCTGCACTGGGGGCGCATTCTCTGGATTCAGTGTCCAGATAGAAGGATAGAGTATAGATGCGACAGAGACGCAATGCGATCCAAATACAGTCAACCAGAGTAAATCCAGCCCTGCACCTTACAGAATTGACTATCATCAACCCTGCTGCAATCGTACCCGACACTACAAGCCCGAGACTTTTCAGAAGTGGAGGAAGAATCGGCAAAGACCAGGATAAGAAATAAGCCTTTTGCCTCAGCAGAAGTGGTTATGTTATAACCCCGCATTTCCTCCCGGTTTTCCATTGCCCTTGCCCGTGCCCGCAACCGCAACCGCATCCTCGCTCCCAGTTTACCTGCTAGCATCAAGTTCTTAAGCAGACATCTACCTACCTACCTACCTACCTACCTACCTACCTACCTACCTACCTTCCTCGTCCTCAACCTACCATACCAAACCAAAACCATACCTTTCTCCTCGCAACCCCTCCCACAAAAATGACCACCCCCGCCCCCAAGAAAATCCTCCTCCTCAACGGCCCCAACCTCAACCTCCTGGGCACCCGCGAACCGCACATCTACGGCAGCACGACCCTACCGCAAGTGGAAGCCCGGTGCGCGGAGCGCGCCACCGCGCTGGGCGCCACGCTGCAGTCCTTCCAGTCGAACCACGAGGGCGCGCTGGTGGACCGGATCCAGCAGGCGCGCACGGAGCAGGTCGACGCGATCATCATCAACCCGGGGGCGTACACGCACACGAGCGTGGCGATCCGCGACGCGCTGCTCGGGGTGGCGATCCCGTTCATCGAGCTGCACGTCAGCAACGTGCACGCGCGGGAGGCCTGGCGCCACCACAGCTACTTCTCCGACAAGGCGAGTGGGATCATCGTCGGGTTGGGGGTGGATGGGTATACCATTGCGGTGGAGCACGTCATTCGAAAGTTTGCGAAGTTGGAGTATAACTAGCTTTTTTTCATTCTGTGCTGGTTATGGGAAATGTTTGGGGAAAACGGAAAACGGAAAAAGGAATACTGTGGAAGAAATGGTATATAGCTGTTTTATGTATATGACCTGGTTTATATGTATGTATATTTACATGGCTGCCGCTTGGCAGCGTTTGCTCCACAGATTGAGCATCTCATAAACCCGTCTGCGTCTCATCCTCGTCGTCTTGTAGCCTCCAAGACCGGCACCCGGGCACCCGCATCATCGCTTCGCAGGCTCAACCGCCTGAGACTCCCGTCGTACGACCCCCGGCTCCGGACACGGCACTTGCTGCTGCGTCTGAGCCAGGAGAAACGGCTCCACCTGCGTCGAATACGAATATATCTCCGGAACTCCTGCGTCCGGGACAAACCCTAGGTTTTGCATGAACTCGGGCTGGTTATCGGTTCTGTAGCTCAATTAGTATCACCGACAGGAAGCAACATACAATGCCAACTTACTTCTCGGTCCCGTCCAGCGACGCTAACTCATCGAACAATGCATCCAGGTCAGGCGCAATCTTGGGTCGTCGCGGCCCGTATCCGTCGATATCCACGAAAGAGCCGAAGGCAAGATTTGGGTCGCTGTATTGTTGCTGGTACTGAGGGCCGCTGGGGTGGAATGACGAGGTCAGGTCGGGTATCATGGGTGTGCTATTCATAGGCTTGGAAGAGGAGATGGAGGGGCGCGGGTTGTGTGTCATAGATTCTTTGAGTTGAGATGGGGGCAGTGGCGGCTCGGTGCCATGGGGGGCGATATTCAGCGACGGCGCTGGTGTGGGTATCGATAGAGCAACATTCTCTTCAAGGTTGGGCGTTCTCATCCAGGTATGAGAGAAAAAGGCGTCTGGGGTGGCGAAGTTGGACCGGGGTTCATCCATGGAGCTTACTCGGCGGGCAGCTTCTGTGGGCGTTTGTAGGGTGGATGGTGGGAAAGCATTGTGGGAGACCGACTCTCTGTTCGATGCACTCCTTGGTCGGCTCGCGACGGGATCAACAGGGGTAGGCACGTCAAGCGCTCGTTCAAGCGGTACAGTCCCTCCCGACTCTCCTCCTTTCACATTCCAGACCGTAGCAAGATGCGCAGAATACGTCTGGAGTTTATGTTTCAAGCCCGGATCGAGTTCAAAAGGAGGCGATGCGTTGGAGCTCTCTGATGCTGGGAATGCGGCAAATGTCAGGATCATGCCAAAGGTAGGGCACGTAGCCGACAAGCTGTAGGTCTCCATGTATGTCTGGAGCAGCGACAACAGCCGCTTGGAGCTTTCCACAGCTCGCTTCTTCATCGGCAGGTCAGGGACCATGCGGTCGTCTCGCTGAGATGCGATCTGCAGACTGAGGTTGGTAGCGACGCTCTCGTATACCATCTCGAGCGCGAAAATATGCGGCGAAGCAATCTTCGACTGGTTCGGCGCAGTCCCAACACGATACGTCTTCGGCAGGGCAGACACCCAGAGCTGTAGCTGGCGCTCCAACGCCTCCAGATGCGATATCGGACCTGCCGATGTCTGCTTCAGGCAGCACAAATCATTCAGGATGCACATCAGCGAAGTGAGGCGATTGAATGCACTCAAGGCATGAAGGGGGCCGCGATGAAACGAGGCCCGCGACGATTCCACCGGGCGCAGACCGGTCTGGTCTTCCCACGGATGCCATTCTTCCAGCCCGTCCTCGTTGACCGGCCCAATCCTCAAGAGTTCGTCTTTGCGCAGCGACGGCACCTGGCCTGTCTGCATAGCAACGAGCGTCTCCAGAATGAAACAGCCAAGGAACACATGCTTGGATCGTGCAGTACTTTTCCCATCTTCAGTGGTCTTGGGCTGCCCGGTAGCTGGCTGGTTCAAGCCAAGAGCCTGCGAAACCCGCACGGCCTGTCCCACCAGCAACCACGCAGCTGTCCAGTCCTGCTGCCCAATCTTGACCAGGGACAAAATCAGGAGAGCCTGGACATGTCCTAGCTCGTGGACCCCATCTGCGCCCGGGATGAGACCTTTTGCCGTCGCATACAGGTGGCTTGGGTCGGGTCGTTCAGCAGAGAACTCTGTCAGCTGACGGGTGGCGGATATCGATGCTTCTTGGATAGAGGCGAGAGTTAACACCGCCCATAAAGCGGCATGGTCTCCTGAGCCTGGAGCGGTAGGTGAAACATAAACATCGTCATCGTCATTGTGTCGAAAAGCCGTTCGAAGGATATCGTGTTTCTCAAGAATCGGAAACCAACAGTGTGTATAAGTGAAGTAGATGTCGAAAAGAGGCCATGCATTTGAGGGCAGCTGGGGGGGTTTCGGCATGGCAGGGTCGGAGTTGGAGGGTAGGTGGGAGGGCAAACGGGCAAGAGAGGGATTGGACAGCTCGTCGATGGTATCTGCTGAAAAGGTGGTCTGCGTGGAAGTGTCTCGGGTGACACGGATGGCGGCGCTCCTCGCGATGGCTGATGCCGCTGTCGGGGTCTTAATCGGAGAGACCACGGTCAGAGAGCCTTCGCGCGCTTCTGGCAAGACGTCCGAGAGATGCCATTCGAGCGCATCGGATGAGATGACGCTGCTACCTTCGGCATCCTGCGGCGAGTACGTCTCCCCGGGGAGTCGGACCCCGCCCGGGTCATCTTCTGGTTGCTCCAAATAGGTCAAGAGCCGCTCGATCTCCTTGAGGACAATACTGTTTTTCCATGAGGAGAGCAGTGTGTCGGACCCTTCGGCCTCCTTGCCCATGGTCGCGAGGTGGCTGGGGATATTCGCGGCCCTTAACAGGGCGCGCACCACCTCCTCACTCCCCTGGATTTTGTTGAAGACAAGCCCCCATAGCAGCTCGAGGGTGCGGATGTAACCGGTCGGGAGGCCGCGTTTCTTGGGATTAGCCTTGTAGGTACATGGGCGCGAGAGCGAGGCACAGGTCGAACAAACGGGTTGCACCCCGTCACATTTGTCCTTCTTGGAGCGACAGCTGTCGCAGGCGCGTGAAACCCGTTGGCGTTTGGGATTGGAGGCGAGATCGTCTGCGGCCGGGGTCTGCTTGCCCTCCTCGTCGGCCTCAGTTAGACGTCGTTTGGACTTACTGGCGCCCCCGGAGGCTTGGCGCGTGTCGTTGTTCATGATCGTCTATCCCACGGTCCACTAGGTTGTTCCGGACGCATGTTCATCTTCAGGATGTGTCGCAGCCGGGAAGAGATGAATGCTTTGCCGGTGGCTGTTTATGCCATATATTTTGGTGCTGTCTGACTCGGCCCCACTATGGATGCGATAGTCGACTAGGAGGACTGAACACCTTTTTAGTTGGTCTGACTAGGAGTAGAAGTAATAAGCCACCAACAGGAGCGAGACTAATATCGGAGCAATCGGCGACAAGTGACAGGGGGGTGGTGGTAGTGGTAGTGGTAGTGGCAGTGGTAGTGGGATAGTGGGATGGTGGGATTTGGTTAGTGTGTGGGTGAAGTGTGGGTGTGGGAAAGTGGAAGAAGGAGAGGGAGGGGTAAAGGAAGAGAAGGAGGAAGAAAGGTAGGCTAGGTTGTTAGGAGTGTGTTCAGTTCACAATTCAATTCAATTCAGCAGTGTTGGGAAGAGCGCGAGAGGTCGTAAAGGCGGAGAAAAGAAAATGGAGAGGATATGACGGGCTGGAGTGAAAAGTTGGGGAAAAGACCGAGCCTAAACCGGAATGGAACTTGGAACTGCTTACCCGCGACGGACTGGTGATTACTGGGTTAGTTACTGACTAGGTGTACGGAGTATTTACTGTTAGTACTTAGTTACATATGTTGCGTAGTTAGTTAGTTAGTTTAGTCATTTAGTCAACTAAATAATACAGATCCATGGAAAGAAGAGAGAAAGTGTGGGAGACTTAGTTGGAGAGAGGAGAGGAGAGAGAAAGACTCCCCCATTCCCCGGTCCTCTCAGAGAGAGCCGATTGGAAAAGGCTAAGAGTTCCCGGTAAACAGGATCGAGTAAGGTGCACTACGCTTTGGGTCAACCCTCTCGCTTGGGTGGCGGACACCCCCCCAGCATTTCATTATTCACCTATTATTTTTACTCGATCAAAATCACTCAATTACCTACTTGGTTACTGTCTGTGTCTGTTAGACATTGGCTACAAATGAAATTACCTCTATCCTTATATACAGTACTCATACTCAATACTAAATGGTTGAGGCTGTCGATCGACATGTGTTCAACCTCCCCCATGCTTTGACCCCGAAGCTAAAACTGAGGCACAGCCTCCTCCATCTGATTTTTCATTTCATCCCCCGCGGGGTAAGGGAGAACCTGGGTCACTGGGTGAGAAAAGACAAAAACAAATCACACACAATTTACCTGGGCCACTCAACCTTGCGTCTCGGAAAACGGAATCCCTCCGGACTGGAGACAGACTGGTATTGTTACAGTCACCTTACGTCTCCCGGCAGAGCCTTTCTCCGCACTTGCCGGCTTCCATCTTTGATCCGGCACTATCCTAGTGCGTACTGTACTCGTAGCATGTCCATTCATAGTATGTACTGGACTCTCTGCACAAGGGATACACCACAACTTACACACAAACTTGTCCTGATGGACTAGAAAAAAGATGTGAAAAGAAGATAAATGAGCGAACCGCGCGAGACATCGTATAAAGCTTTCTTCATTATCTAATAAGTAGTCGTGCGACCAACTAAAAATAGTTGCTTACAAAGAAAGGGCTGTCCAGGAACAACACCACCACTCCGCCACAACCGACAAACGTACTCTATAGTACACCTGCTACATCCCAAACACTGCCACTATCGCCTGCTTTATCAGTCGGCCTTTTCGAAGTTTCCACATGTCAACCGGGTGTTATCGGCCGCATGCACCACCACGGACAAGTTGCCGAAGAATGCGGGAGTATCCTCAACGTTGGACAGGAACCAGTCGGTATACGCGACTGCGACGGACTCGCCAGGGGCCGCCCAGATGGGGCCATGCTTTCCACTGAGGTCGCCGACCTCGCAGGTCTGAGGCGCCTTGATGTCGCAGGGAGGTGTATCGGTGCGGCCATATGGGTCCAGGTGGCT